AAATGAACGAGCTGATATAGTTCTTAGATAGATATAATGATTTTCGAAACATGGCTCGTATGTGACACATGGCTGAAAATATATAGCCTCTAGTGAGGATTTAACTCCCTATTTAGGGGAATAATTGATCTAGCGAGACAAGTTTGCTCACCATTTCACAGCGTCAATTTGCCCTTCTTCGGCCGATTCGATGGAAGTTTTTTTTTTGTTTTGATAATCATTTGTTATGTCAATTTTGATACAGTCGACAAATCATTTTTTTTAATTAGCGAATCATTTCACTTAATTTTAAGCCTTTTCTGAAATAAAAAAAATACAATAAAATAATGAAATTTGTGGAACTACATCGAAGATTAGCGCAAAGTAATTATTTTTTCATGACTCTCACCCATTTTCGCCAACACATCACACGGTTGTTTTATAATTGTATCCCGTGATGCAATTTTTGCTTGAGAACCTATTAATCTTGATTTCTTGCAGCTAACGTACCTACATAATTAAACAAGCCTTACGCGCAAAAGAGTTAACTGTACCTCTGGGCTGGTTTAGCGGATGATAGTGTTGCCTGTCCCCTTGGGAAAATTAATTTAGTGTTGTGTCCGAGAGTATTGTCGGCAGTTTCCCATGATATACTGTCTTTTCTCCATAGGGATATTTGTTAAGTGCACTATTTTCGCAGTTAGATTGTATTATATATTTTTTAAAATACAGTAAGATAGTTGATGAGTTGCTGAAAACGTTTGCAGGTGTTTCTCTCTCTAAGTCGAGCAAATAGCAGAATATCGAATGCTGAGTCTTAATGCATGTAGACATAGCGTAACTGATTGTTCAGCGGAACATATTATGCATATGCCATAGAAGCTACTACGTGTTTATGCATTATAAATTCCATTCATATCATATCTATCTATCTATCTATCTATCTATCTATCTATCTATCTATCTCCATTATTTTGATAGTTCTACGAATTATCGATCTCGGAAAATGTAAACGCTTGGAAAGTGTTGTATATACATCACCTTCTTTGTACGCATCACCTATCTTCATTCGGGCCTTCGATCTATCTATCTATCTTTCTATCTATCTATCTATCTATCTATTCTCATGTGTCAATAAATCTATCTATCTATCTATCTATCTATCTATCTATCTATCTATCTATCTATAATCATGTGTCAAGAAATCTATCTATCTATCTATCTATCTATCTATCTATCTATCTATCTATCTATAATCATGTGTCAAGAAATCTATCTATCTATCTATCTATCTATCTATCTATCTATCTATCTATCTATCTATCTATCTCCATGAGTATATCTATCTATCTATCTATCTATCTATCTATCTATCTATAATCATGTGTCAAGAAATCTATCTATCTATCTATCTATCTATCTATCTATCTATCTATCTATTCTCATGTGTCAAGAAATCTATCTATCTATCTATCTATCTATCTATCTATCTATCTATCTATCTATCTATAATCATGTGTCAAGAAATCTATCTATCTATCTATCTATCTATCTATCTATCTATCTATAATCATGTGTCAAGAAATCTATCTATCTATCTATCTATCTATCTATCTATCTATCTATCTATCTATCTATCTATGTAATTTTGTTGCTGAATATTATAAATAACTTCTATTGAATATCCTTGAAATAAATTATGCTGGAATTACTGTTTTAATGTTATGTACATTCAGTACGTAATCGATCATGGCTCTCCACGTATTCTTCTTATTTATTTTCTATTAATTGCTGTATCTTCTGCCATGAAATATAACGTATTGGTTTCCCGTTACCTTGCCCCGAATATGAGTTCAGAATAATCTTTCCCCTAGACAGGACACAAAGCCGAGTCAGTATTGTTATTTAATCCGTAGTTAGTAGGAGTAGGGGAAATTGATTATCTAAAACATATCAACTTCGTCCAGGAAGTAATTGATCATGGCTCTCCATAGCTTTCTTTATTTTATTATCTGGAAATTAGCATATCTTCTTCAGAAATATACTTGAATGGTTTCTTGTTCCCTCTAGGTATATTCTGGATTGGCTGTAAATCAATGCTACAGCAACCAGTCTAATGTGTTATTTAATCCATAGCTCGTGGTGGTTTAAGAAAGGGATGCTTTTTTTTTTAAATGCCAAAAACTCTCCGGAGTGTAGACATTCAATATTCTCGTCATATTTAATTATTTTATTATATATGAAATTCCACGTCTTATGGGGAAATATTTGGTCATGTTAATCCATTGACTTTATCGACTATTTTGTTATCAATGCTGTCTTCCTCTAAACTGGCTGCTACTCAAGGCGACACAGCCCATTCTATCCTGTTATTTAAACGATACCTGGAGATTGGGAGAAGGAATTGATTCGCGCCTTTCCCATGGGCATTAATGCGAAATAATTTCAACAAATTACGTCGGAATTGAATACGGCTCTACAACTCTGTTTTCCATGGCGATTAATGCTACGCCACCTGTAAATCAGCTGAAATGATATTGACGATCTTTTCGCGATTTCAGAATATGAACAAATCTACTTTTTGCAGTATTTAATTGTCTGTATGCACCATAAAAAGAGAGAGAAAAAAATTCTATGTTGAAACAGTTCACTATTGATTTTCTTTTCTTTCGATAACTGAAATATTTGTAATATCTGCGCATATGACTGCTTCTTGTGCATCTATGTTGCTTGGTTAAATAATCTTTACAGTTTTCATGTAAGATTATTCATCAAACGCACGCGCCCAACGGCAAGTTAGTAGCTTATCTACCCGCTGCGATATCTGATGCTGTTTAGGCACGACATACATTTCCATTTGAAAATAACTTGTTTCCTTTCTGACCACCTGCTTGGAAAATAACGACAATCATTCTTTCAACTGCTAAATCAGTAGTGCATTCATGAAATGTCTAAATTCTATAAATATTTAATTTGAAATGAAAAAAAAATCAAACAACTGCTTCCGTTCTCATAAATATAGAACGAACCGTATCTCCAAATAATAGTGCCTATGCGCGTGCGTATCCTTGAGTACCGACTACATATAGCGGCTCGATTACAATGTCCCCTCCGATTTTCCACGACTACCCAATTGCCCGGGGCGTATTTGGTACGGTATGCTTAATACTTTGGAAATAATTTTCTGCGAGGCACCATTATTTTGCCACATATTTATTTTTACATAATCTCATCCCAAGCAAAGCGATAATGCAAGAGGTTACTGGGAGTAAAACTTCAATAAAGAGAAAGGGGAAAAATAAAGCGAAACAGAAGATGTCGATTGGCGCTGCATTTAAATTTTTCAAGGGTGTAGATGGCAAGTAAGAGATAAAAAAGAAGAAAGTTCTACAGGTGTGCATTGCAAGAAACGAAACTATTAGAACAGAACTTATTTTAGTACCTGAAAATTTCCTACTAGTTGAACTATTCTAGAAATTAATCGCATTTGGTTTAGGAGAGTAAAGCACGTTTTGCCAGGAGATCCACGAACTACAGTATTTCTTGTTAGATCAGTTTCTATATTCGAATATAAGTTAAAAAAATATACTTGTGTTTACCAAATACATATATCAGTTTAATTAATTTATTCCTTAAGGTTTCCCTCCATCACTATCCTTATTTGATAAATCACGTTTAAAAATTTTACAACTGTAATTTCTATTACTCCTCTCTCTCTCTTTTTTTTTTTAAGCGTTTCACCCCCAAGAAAGGCGTGAAACCACTAGGACGCAAGGGGTTACAGAAGATTTGGAGCAAGATCAGATAGGAGTGATAGAGGAAAGGATGAGGAGAAGGGTAGTGGATAGATCAAGGCAACTGGAGATGTCGATTGACATTACATTTGAATAGTTGAACATTATAGCTCTCAGGGAAAACTGAAATAGGGAAGGGAGTTCCACAGGCGAGAGTTGCGAGCTATGAAGCTATTGGAGTAGAAGAGACGGCTATATTTAATAATTTCAACAGTGAAAGGGATGAGAGCGGGATGCCGGCCTCGTAGGGCGCTTGAATTCATGAAGTCTGGTAACCAGCGAATGCAGCTCCTCGGAGCAATTGCCATGAAAGTATTTGTAAAAAAGACAGAGAGAGGCGACGGCGCGTCTGTGAGAGAGTGACTGTAGACGAGATGCAAAAACACGGCCAATTATATTGCATATCCGCCTCTGGAGCCTATCAAGAACTCCGAGGCAAACAGAAGGGGCTCCAGACCATATATGGCAGCAATACTCTATGCAAGGGTGAATTGTTGATTTGTAGATCTGGGGGATCGATCCCGGGGAGAAAAATTTCATGTCGCGGCACAGGGAGCCAAATTTCCTTGCGGTGGACAAAGCAATTAACTCAATGTATTTGTTCCATCTCAGGTCAGCCGTCAACGTGAGACCGAGTAGCCGCAGAGAGGTGCTCTCGAGAAGTTGAGCGTCAGACATTCTAATGGAGGGCAGGGTAGGATCTCTGTGGTGATTAATAGAGACTTCTATCGCACTTCTTGTTTGTGGAACTATCTTCCGTCTTCCCGACCAACGTGATTATACACAAATTTAAATGCAATGTTAACCGTTATCTACTGTTTTCTTAATTATTATTCTTTTATAGTTTTGTCTCCCTAATAGTGTTTTTGATTTCTCATATTCTCTAACACTCAGAGAAATCTTACGTCTTAGTGGCTTAACTGCCTTACTTGGTGAGAAATGTTTAAATATGTATACAAATAATTATTCCGCTGTACGATTTTTTTAAAAGTTACACGTTTATTGAAGTTATATAAACTTCCCAGAGGAACATATATTTGAACCGACATGTTTATTTTATTAGTTGAAATAAATCTACTATGATGGCTATTGCAGACAACACATTTTCTTGGTGCTAAAGAGCCCAACGGAACAACTGAGCAGGTTTCTGCTACTTCGAATGCGTCAATTATATACTCTTCTTTGTTGTTATTTTTTTTATTGCCATATTCTTGTTCTTCTTGGCTCATGGCCATATCACTTTGAAACACCAGTTTCCGTATGATCACCGACGTTAAGCAACATCGTACCTGGCCAGTACCTAGATGAGTGATCGCTTGCGAATACCAGGTGCTGAAAGTTTGGATGTGCATGTGGTCTAAGGAATAATGTCTCAGAATTTTTAACCGGAGGACCGAGTTCCAATATCAGTTGGGTTCGTTATATTCACTTTTCCATAAATACGCTTGGGAAAGTGATTGAATCCGCATCTTCGCCCCCCAACTATGGGTTAATTAGCAAAACTTGTATCTCCAAAATTTAAAAATATTTTCTGGCTTTAAATTATCTGCAAATGGCTGATAAACAGTAGTAAACAAATCTTCCTGAGGTTGTTTTTGTTCTTCTTTATGTCGTATCACTTGGGGGATTATGGCTCTTCAGAAGATATTATCCTTTGTAGTGTCGACTGATTTTGTCTTTTCACCAGCCATCCCAATACCTTTTCTGTCATCCACTTACATAAGATGGTTAGGTAGGAAAATTTATGCTTCCCTAAGCCTCTCCTGCCTTCAATATCTCTTGTGAGTGTCAGATTCGCGAAGCCCTCTTTCCTCATTATTTGTCCGAAAATTTTCAAATTTCTCTTCGTGATTTTAAATCAATCATGGCAATCCTCCATGTCAATATCATTGTCTACTATTTGCATTATTTGTCATAATACTTCATTTCAGAAATATCGACAGATATTGTCTACTAAATTCAAAATGGATTTTTTTTTTCAGTATTTCTTTTTGTCTCTGGTATCGACCATATTCCTTGTGTCTTGCTTATTATTTTTTAAAGTTATTTTTTTTCACCGGCACGATTAACGTTCTTCCATGTAGAATAAACTTACAGAACCTTTTTTCCAGTGAAACGTTTATTTGAACCGGCACGCTTATTTTGAGTTAAACTGTTTTTTTTTTATTCTTACATGGCTATTTAAAACTGCACTTTTCTTTCATACAAATCATTTTCTATTTTCTTGCGTACCAAGTACGAATGCCGACACAATTAAATTATGTCTTTCAATTTTTTTGGCATTCACCAAGAGGAAATGAAAATTACTTATGGTGATCGGCTCAGATTCGTTTTTATTCTAAGAGAATTAGATCAGTCGATCTAAAATGTAACTTATAAAGCACATTGGATAAGCAATGAATTTTCCATCAGTACTCTTACGCATCAAAATTCAAATACTGGCTGGATTAAATTATTTGCTTCAATTTCCTCCGCGGCACGGGGCTTTTATTGGTACGTCATGCTTACTGTTTTTTTTTTTTTTTTTCAAATGCATTTTTTCCCTGCACGTTTATTTGCTTCCAGCTTATTAAAGTAACTCAATTCCTAGCAGAACGCATATTTGTACGCTTTCTTTAAAAGTTGAAAAATTTTCACCGGCGTGACATCTCCAGACGGTTCTTTTATTTGGAAGAAAAGATTAAGTAACACGCCTCATCGAGAGATCATTCCTCAGTCAGGGCAGATGTAGTCAGGACTTCGCCTGTTTCGTTGCGGTGGTTCGTCCGTTATTCAAGAAATGGGTTCTGTTCATAGGAATTTGTGATTTCTATGTGTCTTTTGGCTGAGGCATTTATTGTTGGAGTTTTTTGTGTATACTATGTAACTAGTGAGTTAGCTCAAATGACTTGACTCACTTTATAGTCCACCAATCGAAGGTTAACCAATCAGAAGACGTAGAACATTCAATCCGTCGTGTATAAAGGCGGCCATTTTTGTTTACTCTACCCGAATGTCCAATTCCAGCTTGTCAGGCGAAGAGAAACAGAAGGACGAACTATGCTCTGCTACTGTCTTCAAAATATCCACTGCTAACATGAACAGCGCTTTCCTACTGTCTTCAAGATATTCACTGCTAATCTCTGGATTCTCTACTCAAGTCGACCGTCATTATGAACAACATTTCTCTCCGCCGTTACCTAAAATATGTAACTGCTCCAGCCACGAGGCATATACAAATCCTGCGTAGCGGTTTGTGTAAGACCAACCATAATTTTCAGATAAACCGATAAAAGTTAAATGAAGTGACAGGTAATCAGCCTTACTCATAGACATTTACCCCTCCAGATAATGTCAGAGATTAAAGACAGTACATAATCTTGCTAGGAAAAACATGATTTTAATTCAGAGATTTACTTCTCTTAGACTGGTTGACACTGATGACAAGAGAGCCTAGTATGCACTATTATTTCATCCATATCTAAGAGGAGGATGGATCCATGCATCAGTCAATGACGTTAGCATGAATCGAATGGAATAATTACTCTGAAATTAAACTCTGTTGTTGATTTCATTCATTGGCACCAAGAACAGTTACGTCACCTTCGCTACATTTTAGAGGTCTTGAGGGCGTGTAATCATCTCTTAATTGCTGTTGTTCTCAGATCCATGCTGAATCGTGGTGGTAGCATCTGTTAGGGTCCCAGATTTGGGTAATTAGGGAAACCCCAAACAAAACTCAACAATACATTTTTATAATAAAATGACCAACAATATATTTCTTATAGCAAAATGACAATCAATGCAACATTAAAAAATATAAAAAAATACATTTTTCTGGTCGATATATTTTATGACCTACAAACTATATATTTAAAAAATATACCTTTAAACTGAAAATATAAAATTATGTACAAAATATCTGTAGACGAAAGCATACAATTACATACAAAATGTTTAGAATTCGGCAGTAAATAACCCACAGAGTTGTCGATATGCCACAAAACAAAAACGTAATGAGAGGAAAATGGTTTGAAGGAATAGTAAAAAAAAAAAATGAATTTTTGTGAATGTATGGAAAAGTAAGGTCAAATAATGTTGATAAATATTCAAAGATTGCTTAGCGCTACAAGGGTCACAAGCAGCTTATGTAAATGGATGGCAGAACAGCGATTTGGATGGATGGTGAAAAGACAAAACTCAGTAGACGCTACAAACGATAGGAAATCATGGAGAGCCATACTCCACTAAGACACACGGCATAAAGAAGAAGTACAACAATATCAAGAACATTAGTTTATTACTGTTTATCAGACATCTGCAAATTATTTAAAGCCGAGAGCCGGAAGTCCTTTCTTACCTGAAATAATGAAGAACCACGTGGATCTGTGTCGCATTAGCCCTTTGTATCTAATCACTATAAATATCGGGACCTTCACATTTATTTGCAATCTTGTAAAATCTGAATAAATCTGAACACACACACACACACACACACACACACACACATATATATATATATATATATATATATATATATATATATATATATATATATAAAGGAACCTTGAAGTCAACACTCAGAGTAAACAAAGCTGTTTCATGCTGAACGCAATCGTCAGGCAGCTTAACGATTGCGTCCAGCATGAAACAGCCTGTCGCCCTGGAGTGTTGACTTCAAGGTTCACTTTTATATTTATATTTACATACGCTCTATCTCTGATATTGAGCACTTTATACCATAAATATAGCACACCTTAAAACTATATTTCTTTATATATATATATATATATATATATATATATATATGTACATATATATATATATATTAATCTATCTATCTATCTATCTATATATATATATATATATATATATATATATATATATATATATATATATATATATATATATATATATGTGTGTGTGTGTGTGTGTGTGTGTGTGTGTGTGTGTGTGTGTGTGTGTGTGTGTGTGTGTGTTTAACTCAGGTGTGTGTAATTCAATATTCCAGGCGTACAATGACACAGTCTTATTTATTCGGGAAGCAGCCGGAAGGCGGTGATCCAACCCAGCTGCAGTTAAAACCACCTCTTTCAAAAAAGAAGCTACTGTCACGCCACTTCATTCATTGCCACAGCTCGATAGATGGGAGCATGCGCACAGCAACGGAAATAACCATATATATTTGCTGTCGCTTTTTAGGTTAAAATGAACGAAAAAAATGGCGTGGAAACCTAGAAAATGAATTAAATGAAATTTCTATCACACTGTATTTTTCTTGTCTTTTTTTTTCTGCCGAGGTGAAAAAGAAAGATGTAATCGAGGCTGTTCTTTTCAAATGAACGAACTAGGAGCTGGCTGTTACAGAAACGTTCTTTTCACTTGAGCTGCTGTATGGTGATATATTTCACTGCTCAATCCTATTACGTGTTATTTGCCAGTTGATAATTAAAATATGCTATCTCGAATATTACGCAGACGAAACCGTAGAGAAAAAATATACATGGATCTTTTTCTAAACATCCGCTGGAGATAACTTGGTGAAAAGTCAGTAACAGATATTATTTTCATTCATATAATTTTGAAAGATATATTAAAGGTATGGTTGATTTGACGACATGTCGATTCTTGCGGCGTTATTTAATATCGAAATCAGTCGTTTTTTTTAAATCATATTTGACTCTGTAAGTATTTATTTTGTTCGGGGATAGGTAAACATTTGTTGATTAGATTTCACTATATAATGAGTTACTTGATTCGTGGATAGGTACAAATAGTTGTTTTGAGTCTTTACGAGTTTAATTTGTTCGGGAACAGGTAAATTGTGGTGGTTTATACTTGAGTATATAGCGAGTAACTTGATTTGGTGACAGGTAAAATTTGGACGTTTTATGTAAAGCATTTGCTTTATAAGGGTATAGGTAAATATTTATTTTTAAAAGAAAAAAGAGTCCTACAATTGGCAATAAAAACATTCGACAGCAAGGCTGCTGATTTGAAGTTTAGAGGTTTTGAGGCACAGACTTCTTAACTCCTGTTTGTTCAAAGGTTCACCCTGACCAGGTGTGATAGCACCTATTAGGGTCCCATCTATGGATAAATAGTGAACCTCAAACAAAAACATAACACAATATAAAAAAAATTATAGTAAAACAACAGCAATATATTTTATATAAAACAACCACCAATACATATTTATTGTAAAATGACCAACAATACAAATCTGTCGTTGAATGTGTAATGAGAAAAGTACGCAGGTGTAGGCTTTAAGAAAGATTTATTCACCTGAGAGTACAAGTTTCGCATATAGTGTCCTTTTATAGTCCCAGTAAACAGAAATAGCTCTCTCAGTGAGGAGA